TTTCCCACCATAATGGAAATGGTGGTGGAAATGATCTGTTTCCTTCACGATGGCTTAATACCTCTTCCATGGTAACTGGGTGATTTTTTTCTGGATTTGATAGGCTTATACTGAAATAGGCTGTGGTAAATCTTAAATTAATATGAACGAATAGCATCGATTCTTTCGTTAATGGCATGTAAATAAAAAATAATGTCATATTCAGGTTGGGAATAAGCTAGCCCTCGAGTGGAAATCAAAAATTCTTTTAGGGATTTAAATGACTTTTGGCTCTCAGTCCGAGCAAACGTTTTTTTTCTTGTTAGGCGGTATAAACGTATTGCAATTTTAGAGAATTATAAATCTGCGATAGCAATTGGCGAGAAAGCTTCTTAACTGATGAACGTCGAGGGCTATATCAGTCACAAAGTCACAAATGACTTTCTGAGGATTTGAGCGTAAAACTTCCGTAGAGATATATCACCAAAATAGCTAACTTCTCAATGAAATACTTTACTTTTGGAAAATAAAATTAGCTTCTCTGAGCCTTTGCAGAACTTTCTGATGTTTTACAAATGTTCTTCAAAATTTCGTGCTGTTATAATAACGTTACGATACATAAGACATGCTTTATTATAGTTCTTTCTGTACTCTCTCCATAAGGATTTAAAGGTCAGCGGCATAACACAAACAGCATTGCTTTAAACAGACAGAATCCTTGACCAGTAAATAATAAAATCCTGATCAATAAAGAATCTTCACCAATAAAGTGATAAAAACTATGCGAAATGCATGATAATTTCACAAAAGTCGCATTCATAGGTGTATCAAATTTGCGGCCTCTTTATCACTGCCTGACTTGAATGTATCCTCTCATGGTAAAAAGTTTTCCCACCTCAGGTTTAAATAATTCATTTTTATTTTTATAAATATAAAGAAGTGTATCAAAAGCATTCAAATGAAGCTTTATTTTCTTTACAGGTTTGACAAACTCAATCGAAATACAGTCATATCTTGATTTTTAGAAGCGTTTTCCAGTTGTCGGTATCCAATATTCATATCCAGAATGGAAAACCATTTATTTTCTGCTAGCGTGTCTCAGGTGTCGTCAATTGAAGGCAAAAAATTACTGTAATGTCATTGTGTCAGAAATGAGATTATACAATGAGCCGGAGTCACCGTAGCTTAAATGAGACGTTGTTTATAGATGAAGCCAGTTCTGGAAATTTCGTTTCTAATCTTACAATTTTTGTTTTTTCGAATCTCTAGTTCACAGCAGAAATTTACTTGGCGGCATTAGAGATTTCGTCATTTAAGAAAGATTTTATATTTCTAACTTCTTGGTATACAAACCGTTCTCAAGTTTATCTCCTATAATGGCTAATTTTCGTTTACAGAACTCACGTTCTCTTTCATTTGAGCTGCTTCATTCCTCGTCTTAGCAGTATTTGCTTCAAGGAAGTTCTATGTTTTAGCAACTTCAGCTGTTTCTTTTTGGCGGCTTCTGGCAATCATTTCTATAATGGCTTTTAGCAGCACTTTCATCTTCTTGGTTATAAAACAGTGCAAGATTTACGTATAAGGTACACTAACCATAGCTTGGGACCCTCACTTTCTTGGGGCTCCGCAAAAATGTCCAAATGCGCAATTGTCACATATATTTAAATATACTGCAGCATTATTTGTTCCAATGCCGCACGTCCGGAACGTGCCGTACTTTTCCCCCAATTTTTTAGTGCGTCTTTTCGAAGATCAAACCGCTGTTGTGGGGTTTGCATTCCAATAAACAGTTAACCGGTATTATCGGTAATTATGACTACCGAAATTACTGAGAAAATTCGACAGCAAAATGCCGGTAACTTCGTAATTTTTAAAATTATTTCATTATTATTTTATAATAGAAATGAAAAATGTAAAGTATATAATTTCCTTTACTATAAATACGGAGATATACTTTTTAACAGAATTTTCATTTTTAAGTTTGTTATGAATAAATATGATTTTAAGTTAAAGATTTATTATTTCACTATCTATATACTTCATAATTTTATTTTCAGTTTAACCCTATGAGTATTCGAAAATTTGCACTTACATATACTATCTGGACTTCCGAAGGGCCTGGTATCTCGAATAGCTTAGGGCTTTATCAAGACCAAATCCAACCCTTGTTATCAGCATTCAAAGAAATGCAGAATTCTGACACCAGCTGTTGCCAGCTAGACTTATTGCAATCTCTTAATATGGTTACGTTGGCTACGCAGGAAGAATATGGCAGTTTATTAAAATCTCAAGACACGCAGCTCAATAAATAGTTGGAAATAGCTCATGGTGAACTCAGATATTATGCAATTCCTTTTCAGTGCACAAGTGATCGCTCGAATTAACACGAGTACTCATAAAGTAAATTCTATATCGCAGATCAGCTAAACGCTAAATGTCACAGCAGATTAAGAACTGACACCCTATCTCTTGAACCCGTATTTATGTACTGTACTACGGGGTTTTAAATGAATCGGTTACAGAGCTTCGATGATGTGTTCCCCGAAACATTCATGAAGCCGCGAGGTTTGCAGAAATTGCCAAATGTCGCTAATTGGGTGACAAAAAGTGTCTTTAAGATCTGTTCGAAACGAATTCCCTTATATTTCGTTTTCTTCTTTGAGCTAATTTCACAATTCAAACACTGTTGCTCTCAAAATAGATCTGCAATTCTATATGAGAAAAACACTTACATGCAAACATGTGGCCATAAATTCGATTAAGCATGAAACATCAAGTAAATAAATAACTAAATTATATAAACACTAAATAATATTAAAAAGCAATAATACAGTAGAAAATATTTATAAATATTGTTAGCGGTATCATGATAGTTTTTCTATCATTTAATGTTTAAATTTGAAAAAATTATTTTAAATATAAATTTTGTATTTTAGATCTTAATTTTATTCTCATGAATCCTAAAAACCTTTCATATATTTTTCATATCTTTTTTTTATCATTTTGAGTTTTTGAAATACTTTTTTAAATTTAAGAGTTAGTGCCATTTGATGTCTTAGACGTAATCTGAAGTTTACATACTGCAATTAAATTTAAAAAAAAAATTGTTCATTTAATTTTTGCAGTTTACTATTTTAATGTATTTTAAATTGGCAATAAAAAATCAAACATTTAATTGATGTTATGAGTGTAAAGGGACAATATTTCATTATAATACAGATTTATTTTGCCTTAGGGTGGGGAATGTGTTATTTATTGCACTATACCAACGATTTTGCACTCAATTCCACCCCTTTTTTTCTTAGCTCTCTGCAATCCAAATCCATGCCGAAACGGAGGCCGATGTGCAGTGGTGGAGGATGTTTATAGCTGCACCTGTAATTTTCCCTTTTCGGGAAAGACATGTGAAAAAGATATTTATTTTCAGCATTGTCTTTAAAACTTCATTCACTGTAGTTCTAATAGTATACCTCGAAAAAGTACTAACTATAACTGACCTTTCATTGGGAGATATGAACAATATAAATCCTAAATTGAACTGCCATAGATACACTTGACGACCGAAAAACTACCTTGGATACGCTTGACAATATGAATTTGCTGCATGATGCACTAAGAGTTCCAGAAGTTACAAAACTTTACGATTTAGAGTAGTGGCTGAGATTTTTTAGACTGTTAAACATCCTTCAATTGTTTTAAATGATTGTTCTTCGACACAAATCATATAGACAAAGTTCCTACAGAAAAAAAACTACAAATGGATTTAATTGAGTTGTGGGAAGATAGAAATCTCTTTTTTTGGACGTTAAAAATGATCGCATGGAAATCTGGAAAAAAACATTTCTTAAATATCGATGCTTACTAGAGCATTCACGCCGTTTCCTTTCCTGCTTTAGAATTGTTCACTGCTGCGAGTCAACATTTTCTCCCATGACAAAAATCTAAATTGTTTAAAAACGCAAATTACAGTTGCTCATTTTGAGAATCTACTAAGGATGCGCATTCAGAAACTTAATCCAAATATTCAAATACTTTCAGAAAAGAAATAAATGTAAATATCTCACTAAATTAAATTTTCCGTCTGATTTTAACATTATTTGATATACTGTTGCTAAGTTGGTTTTTTATAGCTTAATAGTATTACTTTTTTATTTTTTTAAGTATAGGGTAATAAATTTATTGAAAAATAATTCTATTTTATATTTTTATTTGAAACAGTATTTAAATTTATGTAGTTGTTTATTAACAAATTATTAAAGATTAACATTGTAATAAGCTATTAGCCTGATGTGAGCATAAAACTATTTTATATCATAAATTTTCCTTTTAATAAATGACTTCACGTTTTTTTTGCATTATTACTATATAATGCAATAAAGTGATAAAAACTATACGAAATTGCATGATAATTTCACAAAAGTCGCATTCATAGGTGTATCAGCTTTGCGACCTCGTTATCACTGCCTGACTTGAATGTGGCCTCTCACGGTAAAAAGGTTTCCCACCTCAGGTTTAAGTAATGAATTTTTATTTTTATTTTTATAAATATAAAGAAGTATATCAAAATCATTCAAATGAAGCTTTATTTTTTTACAGTTTTGATAAACTCAATCCATTATATATCCAAAAAATTTTACATTCAAAATTTGCTTTCAAGAAAATTTTAATATTTACTATGTTAATACATACAACCTTTCTGAAAAATCTGGGTTTCAAGCGTCACATGTATTCTAATATCAGTCTGAATTAGAAATTAAAACGATTTACTCAGATCATGTTTTCCATGCTCGAAATACATTATTCTATGTATGTACTTTTTCCAACTTCATTTTGACTAAATTCAAAATCAGTGGATCGAATGCAGGGAAGTATTTCATTGCCTGAAAATATTATTTTTTTATAAAGGGTATTTCCTAATTCGAAATACCACTATCTTGTGTGAAAGGCTACAGGTTTCAGGTTTTACAGGATTATTATATATCACTTTACATTGCCTATTTAAATATTTATTTTCGTTTCAGAATGCAGCTGCGGTCCAAAGGGAACCTGTACTGTAGGAACAAATGGGAATCCAAAATGCGACTGTGAGGAAGGTTATGCGGTGCATAAAGGAAAATGTATTGGTAAGACATTTGTTTTGGATTGTTCTCTTAATGGTTGCATTTTTTCATTATTTAAATTATTTCAATAAATGATTATTAATTTTAATAAATGACTTCATTGTTTCTATATAATGCAATAAAGTTATAAAACTATACAAAAACTGTAATACTTTCACAAAAGTCTCATTTATAAATATATCAACTTACACGGCCTCCTTTATCAGTGTCTAATATACGGCTTTCATGGTAAAAAGATTCCCCACCTCTGGCATATACTTGTTAATATCGGTAACAATAAGATTTAAAACTTCCATAACAATATTGAGTTTTCCCTAGAGACTGTAACCTATTCGTTGCAAATATTGATAGTATTCTGTCTGCCCATCCTTTTTACTAATATGGAAAATTTTTGTGTTGCTATTCGTAATACTCGTACATAATTTTCTCTTGTTTGTGACAAAGTCAAGGTTTCAGAGACGGAGTGCCTTTCTTTGTAGAAATATGATTTCAAATATCCAGAGTCTGGCATTTCTTCTAGGAAGTTTAATCGAAATTCAGAGCTTTGTAAAGCGACGCCTCATACATTTTCGATCTGGATGTCAGTTCTGTTCAATCATATGTTTTCTATAGATCATTTCATTTTGAAATTTGAACTTCGGTAATACCACAAGCAAACAAACGTTCAATTTCCTTTAACATAGTCTTGCTTTTATTGAATAAGAAACTTCTGGAATAATTTGAGTTTTCGCAAAACCGTCTTAAATTTTCACGTGTAAATATTCTAAACGATAGGTGTATCTCTTCCAGGTTATGAGTGGTTTATTTCTTGAAATTTCTGTAGCTTCATGTGAAGTCATTTGCTCCAAAATAAACGTACTTGTATCTTGACATAGATGTACTTAACACAATAATAAGTGATATAACAACAGGTGTTTTATTTAGTCCAGGCCTCTAATCTTTGAACCGACGCGCTCCATTCTCCAGGGTCACTCCACTAATGATAATAAGGAATTAATAACAGCATGATTTTTGATATTGTCAATCCAAAACATCTCAAGAAAAGAAACTGACAGGCTGAGATGCTCCGATTTTTATTTCTACTATCAAAAAACCTGAAATTTGATTGACGATTGGAAGTGAGAAAGATAACTCCTATAATTTTAAGAGGGATATCTTAAGGAGATAAGATACTATGAGAAGTTGTATTCCGTCGGTATTATTCTGTATTACAGATTAATTATTACATATGCTTAAATTTTGAAGAAATGCCGTAGTTATATTTATCTGTAATTTCTGACAAATATGTACATGCGAAATTGAAAAACAGCAGTATATAAGTTGCATTGCATACTTGATACTCACTTAAATCTTAAGTAACAATTTAAAAATAGTTAACAATTAGGCATTTTAATTTTGAAAAATTATATTAAAAATCACATAGTTTTTTCAAATTACTTAAAAATCCTGAGCTAAATTGAAAACTCCAAGAATTTCTTAATGACACCAATATGTTCAAAACAGCTAACAGATTTTTCATTTTAATCAATTTTCATTTAAAAATTAATATTTCGAGTGTAATCGAGGTCATATTTTACATCCAATAGCATTTATTGATTAAAATCGTTTAGTTATTTCTTTCTTTGTGCAATTATATCGTACTATATAATTCTTCTTATGCAAAATGCAATTAAAGATCTTTTAAAGTATGCACTTTTGAGATAGTTATAGAAAGGAAACATGCATTTATAGTCTAGGATTTGTATAACATGTAGATATTATAAGAATTTAGAATATTAAAGAGGTTTCTTTCGTGTTGCAATATTTTTTATGTATTCTCAGTGCTTTGCTGAACAATTTTAAGATTCGTTTGCAATTCCTAGTTCCGTTTATACAAAAATATGAATATATATTTTTCTGCAATAAACAGAATGTAATTGCGGATATCACGGAATTTGCTCTTTTGATTCCGACGGAAGAAAGAACTGTGAATGCGATAAAGGATACAAAGAAAATTTTGGAATTTGTGAAGGTAAGAAAGTAATAACGTTTATTTTGCTAGAAAAAGTTTATTTTGTTTTATAAATTGCTTGGAAAATATGTTGAATAGAACGTAATTAAAATTTGGTCTTTATCTTTCAATGATAATTTTTTTATATATGCACAGAATGCGATTGCGGTAATGGTACATGTTCTTTCGGTGAAAGGGGAGAACGACGATGCATGTGCTATGAAGGTTTCAGAGAACTTAACGGAATATGCAAAGCTAAGAGTCATTAGGCATGATTTTTAACCAAAATGCATTTCTTTAGTACTTTTCTCAAGTATCTTTTTTATTTACAACATCAAGAGCTCCATGTCCCGATAGCATCTTTCTTAGAATTCCAAAATTTTAATAGTTAATTAAAAAAATTAGAATAACTTCCCAGACACTTTTATATATATGATTAGTATATTTGCTTCCATTCAATTTGCCTTAGTTCTGTGATTGGGAAATATTTTGTTACATTTAACTGAAAAAAAAACTTACACAGTGCAGAAAGAGGAGCTTTATCTTAATTTTTAACACTAGACACTTTAGATTCCTTTTCTTCAATAGATTTGTAGTTTCGAAAATTGAGTATTTTTCACTAGTTAACTGAAAGTAAATTTGTAAAATAATTGCTTTCATCACTGAATACCTTTTATGATTACTTTAAACTGTATGGTTTTATGGTAAAATGTTCTTCTATATTATACATGTTTATAAATATTTTAGACTCAAAGGTCTTTTCCCCCAAGAAATGAAATTAAAATATTTTGTTTCAGTAATTCTGATTTCATTAATTTTCCATTCTGAAGATCATTTATTATTCAAAAGGGCGTTAACTGATTCCAAAGGGCTATCAGTCTCAAAATGACATTTTGCGTCGAATTACTTTTCACACAGTTACCACCAAATATTATCGCCCTGTATTATGTTCGGAAAAAAAATCAAATAATGAAGAATCTGTATGCATGTTTCTCGCATTGCGAAAAAACAACGGTACCTGGAAGCAATCAAATTTCGAAGAACCGTTCGAACCTGGACACCTGGAAACCTTAATTTTGAATTTGTTGTACTATCTGCTTTATATTTTGTAAAGCATTTTGATTAAAAATGAATTTTTTATTAAAAAAAACGATGTCAAAGCGAGCAGTCCAAAGAAGCGTTAGAACAAATGCTATTTGAAAGTCCAGCATTATATGTATGGATATGGATATGGAGAAATGTGGTGGACACCCATTGTTTAACCATTGCAATGTGGGTATTGTCCAGCCACACTAGATATCCAGATAAATTACACCCCACAGGACTTACAGGGTGGTATTTTACCAGATCGCGGGCAGTGCCTTTCGTTTTCCCTTAAATATACATTGGTAGTTGGTGCCTTTCGCACGTACATGCTATGGAGGGCAGCTCCAGGTCTGTTGGCATAATATGTTTTAAGTAATAGCTTTGTTATATTATTCTAGGCTGTGCTTGCATAGCTCACTGCCTCTTGTGGACAGGATAGCTTCATTATAATTATGATTTTTTTCTGAGATGGATTGTTCTTGGTAGCGTATCTAATAAAAGGGAAGTTATTTTACTTCTCTGAATTTGGGACTTTTAGATGATGTTCAGCTGTGAGGGGGCCATTTGAATAAATAATGTTCGGGAACTGCCTCCTTTCTCCACATGTACACTGGTCTGATGTAGCTAAGTTTCCTTGCATAAAAGTACGTGGGAAAAGGACCATGCCCTGATAAGAAACCACGTTATTTCTCTTGGTTATTAAACTCGGTTTGCTGTGCTACTTTTGGGAACAACTGATAAGGCCTTCTTCCTTGTTCGGCGTTGTTCCACCAGCTCTGCCATTCAGCTTTAGATTTGATGATTAAGATTTTTTTAAGGTGCGAGCCAGGCCATGGTACTGATAAATTTTGTGTATTTTGACCTCTAGCTGCTTCTTTGGCTAGGATGTCAGCCTCCTCGTTGCCTTTTGTCCCTGCATGTGCCTTCAGCCAAGTGACAAAGAAATGTTGATTTTGTGATGCTGAAGTTCTTTCTGTAATCTCCTAGATTAATTTTGATCGGTGGCGCGGGTTTGCGATGGCATGCATCGCTGAAAGTCTATCTGTAAAGATATGTGCTGCTTTTAGAGAGTTTATGATGCTCTATTTTATTGCTTCAAGGAGCGCTACTGATTCCGCTTGGAATACACTATTTTATTGATCTAGGTGGAACATCTGTTCTGTTGTCGAATTGGGGTCTAGGTAGATTTTGATTGCGCTGCCTTTACCTTCTTCTTGGCCGGAACCGTTTGTAAAGAGTTGGCCGAGTTTCTTTTCGCTTACTTCTTTTTTATGCTTAATGTGATATTATTTTTCTTTCCTGGTTGGTGTTCATATGGGTGTGCCGGTGTCTCTTAATTCTCTGCTAAAAGTTCTAATGATTTGTAATGGCTCTTTTTTCATAGTTGTAGTACTGTTGTCTTATGGAGTTCTTGTTCAGCGCGTATAAAAAGTGGAGTGCTGTTAGCGATTTGGAAGAGTGCCGCATTTGATGTTGTTCTGTAGCTTCCTGTATAGTTAAGAAGGAAGGGTCGCTGGCTTGTATGAAGCTTTTTTTGCTTTCTTTTTGTCATTGGTTCTGTCTATATGTCTGACCTGTATAGGGCAATCTTCTCGATTACTGTATGGTAGATGAGGTGTTGGATTGGTCTGCTCATTCCCAATCCTATTCCGTTCATTCGCTTTAGATTGGTTGCTATTTTGGAGGTCTTGCCTCTAATGTAGTCTAGATGGTCTATAAAGTTTAAGTTTGCGGGTTTGCGATGGTATGCATCGCTGAAAGTCTATTTGTAAAGATATGTGCTGCTTTTAGGGAGTTTGTGATGCTCTATTTTACTGCTTCATGGAGCGCTACTGATTCCTCTTGGAATACACTATTTTGTTAATCTAGGTGCAACATCTGTTCTGTTGTCGAGTTGGGATCTAGGTAGATTTTGATTGCGCTGCCTTTACCTTCTTCTTGGCCGGAACCGTTTGTAAAGAGTTGGGGGAGTTTCTTTTCGCTCCCCCAAGCCCGACCCCTGAGTGCAAAACAACATCCTTTGGGGCATAATGTAAAATCTGAAAGCTTTCAGATTTTGCTATTCTAATTTATTTTTTAGCCCAAAGGGCGATAGATACAAAGGACTATTAATCTCGAAACCGAATTTTGCCTCGAGACTTATTTGAAGAGAGAGCTACGCCGGAAAAGTTGAAATACCAGCATTAAACATTTAATAAATTTATATCTCGTAATTGTAGTCTTTTGCTTTCAGAAACATGGAGAATATACAATTTACCAGAATGTTCTTGTGCATGTTTAAAAACTTATAAAAGCCGGGCAGAAAAAATCTCAGTTCAGTTGTTTACTTAGTGCTGTTATTGATTGTAGCGAATTCGCGGTGAGATAGGATTAGCTTTCTATGCGTTTTTTGTAATTGTGTTCTATTTAGCGTTTTAGTAGTTAAAAATATAACTACCATGAGATATTGTGATATTATAAGGATATCTGAGGAAATGTTTTAGCATTTTGTTTTATTTCTTGAGATAATAATAAATTTTACTAACTTTTTCGACTTGTGCATTCAATCCATTACGAAGCCGTACACACACAACAGTACATTTAATTTAATTAATTCGACAGCATTTCATTACATACAAGCACTAAAAAAATCTTAAACCATTCAGAAAGTAGTGCTTTATCTTACTTTTGAGCCTGTTATTATTTTGTATTTAATTGAAATACATTTTTCTAAAGTTACTGATCTTATCATTGAATCCTTTTTATGATTTACTTAAGATCTATGATTACATGGTAAAATATTTATCTATAATGTCTATGTTTATAGACGATTTAGACTTCAATGTCTTTTCCCCAAGAAATAAAAGTACAATATTTTGTTTAAAAAAATTCTGATTTCATTGATTTTTCCATTCTGAAGATAATTTATCTTTTTGTAATCTCCTTTAAAGAATTACTTAATTCTTTGCAATTCTGATAGAAGTCCAAATTTTAGAAATAAAGTTTTGTGGGAAAGTAATTTTTGTTATAATCAACAGAATCTAAATAATTTAAATTACTCAAGTCAGACTCCCGTTCTATTTCCGTTTTATTCCCGTTTTATTTAAAGCAGTAAACACTATCACCACTGAGATTTGCGTAATTCAATCAACAACTGCCCTATATATGCAAGTTTAATAATTATTTACATTGATGCCTGTAATTGTTTCTACTGCTTATATTCATTCTTAGGCCTACTGGAAGACTGAATTATCATAAAGAAAGAAAAAAGATGCCAATCACATGATTGTTTTAGATGTCAAAATACTACCACCAAATTTTTCTTTTAACTGAAATATTCTAGAATTGGCCGGAAATAAAAGGAAAATAACAATAAACAGTCTATAGACTTGAAATTAATTAAAAAATGAAGTATGTGTGTTAAAGCAAAACTTCTTTTTGAATTTCCTTTTTTTGTAAGTGGCGTTTCTTTAAATCTTTAACTTTGCGGGAGCTAAAGCGAGTTTCTAGATGAAAGAATAAATGTCCAGAGAAACGAAGATACGGTCGATTAGACACAATACGGAATTTTTCAGGTCCAGGCACTCAAAAGAAATGCAGGCTGTAGATTAATTTATATAAAATGTTCTACATTTTTATATCAAAACCATACCATTTTTATATCACCATCATACTTTTTTTTATCAAATTCAACTTCAGACTGCATTTGATAAAATATGAAGTCATTACAAAGTTTGTAGTTATGAAATTATCTTCGAACTTTTAGAATGTGATTGTGGATTGCACGGAGTATGCTCTTTTGATGTGACTGGAAAGAAGTACTGCTTTTGCCAGAATGGATTTAGAGAACACATGGGAACCTGCAGAGGTATTTGCGATTTTCATACTTTTGTTGATTGTTTATAACAAAATTAACGCTGCCAAATATAATTTTGTAAATGTTGTTGTAAACCATCGTAATTGTTATATTATTCATATATCTTCCTAAAAAAGGTATTTTTGAATTCATGAAAATCAATTACGTTCTGTAATGACATTTTAAAGCTTTTATGATAACTTGGTCTAAAGGCTGAGTGATAGAAGTCGTAGTTTTTTAAGAAGTATTTGCAGGAAACAACACTAATTTAATGTTTTCAAAACAATATCAGAGGTGTGCATAGCAGAGGTATCCAACGGTAAGCATAATTTATGGTTTTCCAGTTCAGTGTCCGGTTTCAAAAGGAATCAGTGTAAACAATAGTTGTCATCCATGAGTTCTTGTTATTATAGAAAGTTGAACGTAAATTCTAGACCCCTTAAATATCAAGGTTTATACCTTTTTCAATAACCAATGGCGCCTTCTTAATTATTGTACCCTTTTCGCACATTAATAATACAGTAACTCATTATTTTAATGTCTTAAAAACTAGCTCCTGTTTCACTTTAAAACATTAGTATGTGCACCAGAAATGCTCAGTAAAATAGACCAGCTTCATCTCTATTATAAATTTCGTGCTGCTTGTATTTTTTAGAAACCCGGGGAAAATATTTTTTATCTCGTTCTCAGCCGAATGGTTATCTGCTCATTGCTTCTCATCATCCAGTAAAAATTTCTTCTAGCATTTTAGCGAATTGTACAGTTTTTGTGGTCAAAAGAGTTATAGAAGTTGGAACAACAAATCTTGAAACAGCTCTAGATGACCAGTTTTAAAGTCTCTCAGTTTTCCATCTCTTCAGCAGCCCAGCAAATTCGAGTCACCCCAGCAAGCAACCCGCAGAGACCGCCAACCAGTCAGAGCGGTGCAATGTGAGAATTTGTCTTTTCGAACTATTTCTGTACTCGTACGCGTCAGACACTTAAACCAACCAAGAAACCTTAAAAACCAACCGAAGTCACACCCTTAACAAACATAACCGAGGCAGCAATGACATTCATGGTGCACAGAATCTTGTGTACATTTTTTTCCCGAACTGCATGGCATTTTAGATAACAATGTTGGGAAAAAAATTGCAGCTGTGCAATATATATGTAATAAAGAATATCGTACAAACTTTCACTCAGCTGAAGATATTAAATTAAGTTTGTAAAATTCTTTAAACATTGATTTGTTAATACGACATCAAATTATTCTATTTTGATTTTTATAACTAAACTGGAGTAGCGGTATTTTGGTTCGGTTCGGTTGGTTTGTTTGATTATGGTAAAGACTTCGAGGGCTATCAGCCTAAGGGAAAAGATGAAGAAGTAGAAGAGTTTCGAAGGGAATTTGTCTGTTATACACATTACGCACAGGGAAAGCCACGAAAACACACAACCAGCCAGCCTGTTTGCTATGATTGTACCAATCTGCGAGCTTTCAGCTACTTTAATGCTCAGCCGCTGGAGAGCAAATTGGTATTATTACGAATTTTTTATTTAGATAGCTAATTTTAGTAGAATTATAATTAAAATTATGTATTTCTCCGTGCAATCCAGCTCGAGACAAATGTTAAGAGAAAGCTATGCCGGAAGAGTAAGAACACAGGGGAACGTGCATTTAACATTGAGTAAATGGATATCTCGGTAACTTGAATTGAAATTGAATAAATAAAATTGACCACTATATTGGCTGTAACCGTAATTTCATCCTCTTATTGCTTTCCTGTAATCTCGAGAAGTATAGGGTGGCCCGAAGTCACTTTACATTTTGAAAATTAAATAGCTTTTTTTCTATTAATATATTTCTTTTTCTCTTTTCAGAATTAAAAAATATAACCCTGGAAATTTTTGGCATGGATAAGTTTAAAAAACAGAACAACGAGTGAAGATAATTGAATTTTACTTTAAAATGGACGGTCAATTGTTGCAACGCATATATTGCGCCATTGTAATGTTCGACATCCCCCTAGTAGGCCTGCAATAAGGAACTTAGTGACGCGTTTTCACAGGTTCACTTAGTGCAATCTTTAAAACCAGCAGACTTCAGAAACGAGTAAATTATGCTGTCAGGTTTCAGAGAACTGCAAGAAATGACAATGAGTTTATTCACAAGTTGATCATGGGAGATGAAGCTCATTTCCATTTGAATGGACATGTGAATAAGCAAAAAAATAAAAAAGAATTAATTAAATAGAGTCATTTAAGAAAAAGTTATTTAATTTTCAAAATGTAAAGTGACTTCTGGGCCACCCTATAGAAAGTACTAGAAAGTTCTTGCGGCGGTTGAAAACTATAAAAAGCCAGGGAGACAGAGAGCATATCAACTCAGTTGCTTAGCTACTGTTGTTGCGAGTTGCTACCTTCTGATGAATTGAGAAATCCAAGTTAGCTTTTTCTTTAGATGTATTTTACATTGCTACGTGTTTAATGCTTTTAATAGTTTGAAGAATAACTACTGATTATATTGCACGATGTTGTGAACACTAATACGAATATCTCTTAGGAAAATTCCAGAGGTTTGATACATTTCTTTCGAAAAGAATAATTAATATATTATCGGACTTTTGCATCCAATTTATTACGAACGCAACTGTGTGTTTAATCGTGAAGTTAAAGAGTATTGGGCTTTGAAACATTTACTGCTGAAACCCCTTGTGTTTACTTATTTATAGAATGCGACTGTGGTAGTGGCAACGTTTCGTGTTCAATTGACAGAAATGGAATGCAGAATTGCACTTGCAGGACTGGCTGCGCTCCGAAACCAGATGTAAGAAAAGGCAAAGTTTGCGGATGTAAGTTGGTGAATATTGTAATTAATGAATTGCTTTAAATTAGTGAATATCAAGTACAAAGAAATACTTCGTACTAGGATAAGGATAATGGTGCAGCCAATGCAAACGTACGCCACTGGCAAAAGAGCGACCTCTTAGAGAAGATTAGTTGGAAAAAAGTCACGGAAGTTATAGAGATGATTTGCGAATGGAAAATTTTGGTTTATTTTTGAAAGTAATATTGCCCATAAGACCATAACTGTTCTGAAGTGAAGGAGATAGTGATACGTCGAGTGAAAGTTTATCATGCAAACGCCTATATCTCCGAGTATTACGCTTGCTATTGCTGGAAGATGATATTTCATTACACCAGGTAATGGAAATTGGCGATCACAGTTGTGGCACAATTGATAATGAAACTAGTAACCCAAATGAATAGTTTGATATAAAAGGAAATCAGCCTCGTAAAAGCACAATACATGGCCTTGTGCATTTTATGAGTGCATACGTGTCAAATGCTATCAAAAAATAAAAAATTAAGAAATTGTAATAAATAATTTAAAAATAAGTTTTAATAGATTTATTTGAAATTACTGCATTTATTTTTTAGCTTTGATACTGTCAGTCCCTAGTTTAAGATTACAGTTCCAGATTATTTTGGTTTCTTCCGGAGATCGTCATCATATAATGGTATAAAGGTGACATTGAAAAATTAGGCTTACTTATGTTGTCATAAATCAGTTTAATTTTCAGAGGCTATCTGCTTAGGAAAGTAGTTGCTATGAGAGAGTTTACTGGAACTATATAATTTTGCATAGTTGATTTCTTAGTATATACTTCTAAATTATAGGTGGATGTGGACAGAGCTTTGTTTATTTTCTACCAGTTGAGGTATATACCCAGAGCCGTCGAGAAGTATGACTCGATAAAAGGTTTGGTACAGCTTATTTAATGCACAATTAATTCTGAAGTGAAAAGAAGGGTTTAGCAATCAGAGTTTTCATCTTTCAAAAAATCATTCATAGTTCACATAAAACTGATATTAAAAAGTATAAAAAATGAAAATAAAAACTGTGCGTCAACATTTGTGTCTTGCAGTTCTCTGATTAAAAATTTCGCATTCCGCCTTTTATATTTCTAAATATGAGTTTTCGTTCTTACTTCCAATGAAATTTATACACTATTATTATAAGGTGCTATATAATTATATTTCTACGCTACGAAACTGCAGGCTATCTTCAGGAACCACGTTTTTAGAATTTTGGCAGGAAAGATGCATTAGCTGTGCGATATTTATAATACCGCAAAGGAAATATCAATAATATAACATTTTGAATCCATTAAAATTTGTCAGATGTATTTTCAAGGATTAACTAACTTTCATTTAAGATGGTTTTATAACTTCTGGATGAATTTATGCAAAAATAAGGATACATATTTTCTTTACTGAATAGAGTGTTATTGTGGACGGCATGGAATTTGCTTTTTTGATTCCAGTGGAGAGAAGATATGTAAATGCGATAAAGGATACCAGGAAATTCATGGAAAATGTGAAAGTAAGAATGCCATAACTAGCCTTTTAATATATCAAAGGAATTTTTCTCTTTTTGTTCTGCAGACTACATTTGAAAATGCCGGAGAAAAATACTTATAAATTTTTATTCTTATATATGTATGATACATTTTTTATACTTTTATAGAATGCGACTGTGGTAATGGTACCTGTTCCTTCGGTTCATACGAAGAACAACGCTGTATGTGCTATGAAGGATTCAGAGAATTTAATGGAACATGCGAAGGTAAGATTCATTACTGGTTTCTTGTTTTTAATTTATGTTGGTCTCAGCAGAACTTTAAATTATAAACTACTTAATAATTACTTGATTTTTGTTTTACTGACTAATTTGTTACAATCCTTCATAAATAACGTCATATGTATCTAAGAGTTTATGATTTGGTTCAATTCATCGCTTTCTTCAGGAAGTCAGATTCAGAAAATATCATTCCATTTGCTTGGCAAAATGGATTCATTCTTGTATGCTTTACGATAAAATATTGAAGTGTGTTATTTAAACGGAAGCTCTAGAATGAATTGGCCCACCAGCGGCCGAGCGGTAAAATCGCTGAACACTGGTATTTCGGTTCGAGGTTCGAATGCCGCGAACGGGCTGGCTGCATGGGCGTTTTCGTGGTTTTCCCCATGTGTAACGTGTATACGAGCCAGTTTCCATTAGAAAGTCCTCCACGAAGGCATCCCTTGCCTTAGGCAGATAGCCCTAGTGTGCTTTATTCTCAATACACCATCACTATACTGAATTATTTTTTTTAAATTTCTTAAGTTGCAGCCTAATTTAACTTAATCTAAACATTGTGTTAACCTTCATAAACTGCCAGATGAATTTTCTTCTCCTATTCAATTTAGAATCTAATATACACATAATGATTACAGCAAACCTAAATTCAAATAAATCATTTATTTACATTTTGGCTTTAAGTTACAAAACTAAATGGATAACAGAAACTTTACATCCCCTCTTTGTGGGCTGGTAATGTAATGGCATTCCATTTATTTGCAAAACAAATATCAAATTAGAGAATACGAAGTCAGCCCCAGTGCTTACGTGACTTCTAGCGTAACTGCAGGTTAAGTAAAAAATAAAACGTGTAGACCAACAATCAACTGAGATCAACAATCAGACTATGGAAGGTAAATTCAGAGAGATAAGAGCTTTCAGCTGAAACTGCCAATACTGTCTTACTTACATTCTCTAGCAAATTCTAACAAATGTACACTTACTGTAGCATATGTGCAGTATGTCTTATAAATGTAAACATAAAATGGAACTGTTTTAATCTTTAAATAATAGAGAAGCTTTTTTAGTACATGAGTATATGAAAAAGGAGAATAAATTCCTTGACTGTCGCAAGCGTAAGTACACATGATCATGGCGAAGGCTATGGAATTCAGAAACGGTTTTTGCTTATTTAGGAAAACGAAAGATAACGGTAACCATTCGCTAACTTAGGTGAACTGTGTCACTAATTTCAGACCCATCCTGTGTTGAACTACGTCAGCAGAACATAGCATTTCATTAGAGATGATGAAGAAATGAGGAGAAAGGCTTAAGCCATTTCCCTTACCATACATTCATACAAAACCAAAATATATCTCCAAGGATTCGTAGTTTGTGACGGAGTTCATGATGGTCGACAAGTAATTAATTAAGGTGTAAAATACAGGAGATGAGAGTTGTAGGAAGAGCGGGGTGACGTCCCGGAGAAGGTGCAAACAGGAGTCAGAGAGAAGTGGCTATCAGTCACTTGCAGTTATGGAGTATCCGGTGTGATCGGATAAAGGAGCGTAATAAAAAGCCCATCAGGCATTGGTTTGGGATGAGTTTGAATGACTTAGGTGAACTGTGACACTTTTCAGGCACCTGGGCAGTTGTCCCATTCTGTATAGAACTGTGTCGGCAGGACAGCATGATGTAGAATTACGGCTAACATGATGATGAAGAAACGAGGGAAAAGGCATAAGTTGATTCCCTAGCCATGAAGTTATTCAAACGGAAGATATACCTCCAGATAATAAAGTTCGGTAGTTCATAAATAGCATTTCATATGGAGAGTTCACGAAATACGATAAACACTTAAGCAGCAACTAAGTAACACCGAAGCCAGGACTCCGGTGTATATATGTGTTCTTGTAATGCTTGTGCGACTGAACACAGGGACGCATTTTAATCTGGGATGACTGTATGGTCAGCGTATATGGCTAGTTTAGTATTGGGTTACTGTGTGATATTGACTAATTGTGAGATATCATTCGCATAAAGTAAGAAAAGGACATAGCCAAGGAGCTACACGGCAGTGGATTTGAGGTTGAATATGTATTACTATAGCGAACGACGAATTGTTTATCGTAAAGATAAGAGTCAATGAGATCAATGATATAGTCTGAGAAATGCGGAGCAATTAATTTGCAAGTAAGTTACTGCAACAATACGTAATCAGAGGCTTTAGACACATTGAGAAAGGGAGCTCTAGTGATTTGAAGGTTTCTAAGTCCCTGTGCTACTAATTCAGTCACTCGGCAGAGTTGATGGGTAGTGAAGTGCTTTCTTCTAAACCCGTGTTGCTGTGGAATCAGGATTATGTTGTTTTCTAAGAAGGTGTTGATGTGATGTAGGGTAATTGCTGGATGTAGGAAAGATTGCTGCTTCAGCAATTTTGCTATGTGTGGATAACAAGCAGCCGGATCAGCCGGGTTCTTCCCAGGCTTCAGAATCGGAGAGAAAATAGCTGTCTTTCGATTAGTCGGGAAGTACTGAAGCTGGTTCATGAGACTGATAAATTTGGTTAACTTACGAATTATCTTCATACCCATTTCCTTGATTATCCTTGCAAGATCCAGATGTGTCCGGTTTTGGTGTCTTGCCCGTAATTAAAGGACTCGTATTAACCTTATCAATTTATTCACACACACCACGTAAACTATAAACACTTTGTACAAATAGAAATATATCAGTTGATCGAATTGTTAAATTTATAAGATCACTTCACTGAGCGAACTGAGCATTCGGCCTCTTCCGCCGAAAGTCAATTTCCAACTTATCCTTTTTCCGTCTAGTGGGCACTACCTATTTTCGGGGTTACAGTTTTGGAGGACCAATCACTACAATATTGTTGCTAATTTGGTCCAATCATTGGCATTTGCGATTTTTCTCTTTCCAATACATCTAATCACATCGCGATCTTTGCCAGGCTTTTGAGCATGATTTCACTTTTTATTCAGTTCTCGTATAACAGGATATTTTTATGTTGTTTTTCTTCTGCAACGTCTTTGCTGTTTTTGATGAGTGCAGGGTGTAGTTCATTTGTAAATTATTTAGTCAAAATATCTAATTCATTCCTCTTATGTGCGTGTGATATAGTGGGATTTGGTATAATCCGCCCAGTTAGTAATTAGGGCTCTTGCATAGATAGCATAGATTAGCACAGATTTACAGCTATTACAGTAATTAGGGCTCTTCTGTGTGGTGCATTATAATTAATTATGATTTCCACCATAATCGGGTTGTGATCAGATGATAGTTCACTCTTGCTTTTGGCAAAACGATGCAGGTAACAGCGGCGTAACCTTTTTCATTTTTCATCATGACGGATTAGTAGTGCTGACTGGCAGGCAACGGAACTCCATCCACAGATTCGAAACTAGGTCATTTGTACATCATTGATACATTGAAGGAATACCCCATGAGTGAAAGTAAGGAATGCCGCCGTGATATAGTTCTGGCATAGATTTACAGCTAGCCGGGCTTACGCTTGACTTAAGACATCGCTTGACATTATGTTAGGCTTAAGACATCATTTTTCATCTTTTTCCATCGTTTTCTGTTACGTAAGAAATATAAATATCTGACAACTATTTGATGCAATTGATTGAAAGTAGAAATGTAAGAAAGTTAGAACATAAGACACACAATAAAATACAAAAATAAATAAATAAATATATCAGCAGAAAATAGACGACTTTAAAATGAGTTAGTTATACGACTTTAAAATGAGTTAGAAAATTGAATGCGTGTTAGGATAACAATATCTTCTGTAAACCACTAGGTATATGGGTGCTTTCTCAATTTTTTAACTTTACTAGAGTAAACATATGTTTTAAGATTAAAATGTTCCTGTGCTAAAAGCCAAAGAAAAATTAGTTCACATTATGCGGAATGCAATAATGTGTTTTTTAGTCCCAGATTTTCAAATTTAATACAGATTTTTAATGATTTATATTCTATAAAATTCAGACTCATACAGCATTTAATAGAATAGGATGAAGATGTTCAAAAATCTAAAATAAATTTATTTTGGGATTTATAGAATGCGACTGTGGGTTTCACGGAACATGCTCGTTTAATGCGAATGGAAAGAAATACTGCATGTGCATCGAAGGATTTGCAGATTTTGAGGGAAACTGCACAGGTAACTATGATTTCCAATATTTTTATAGATTCATTTATGCATTCACTACAAAATTTATGCTGTCGGATATAATTATAAGACAACAAACATGCGTATCTTACATTTTCAATTTTCCTGAACGACAATTTTCTGAACTTATAGAGTGCAGTTGTGGAACAAATGGAACATGTCATTTCGATGTATATGGAAGAAAGGAGTGCAGATGCGCCGAAGGATTCAAAGAAACTGCAGGAGAATGCAAAGGTTAGAATCATTGAATTTCCTGAAGTTTAAAATGCATGAGGTACTTCATTGTTACTCCTATTTATTTTATGTCATACTTAATAAATTTTTACTGCCATATGACTGTGAAATGATCGAACCGTTCTTACAGATTTGGGGCAACATACTTCTTTGTTACAAACTCAACAAGTTCTGCTTCTGTATGAAGCACAAGAAATTTAATACATTGTTCAAATTTGGGAGCAGTTTAAATATGTTTTATTATGTTTCTATGAAAAAATTTCGTCTACACGTGAAAGCTAAATGGAATTAGTTTCAATGAAACATTCAAAGAAGAAATTTCACTGTTAGAAATAATATTAATGACCTTGTCGTGCTTCCATTTTATTCTTCTGTTAGTTATAAAGTTGCAGGCATTCTCCAAAAATTCAATTTTCAAGTCAGTTTCTTCCCTATCAATAAAATTCACGGTTCTATTCTAAAAGATTGCGCTTCTTACTTTAATTATTGCGGAATTTATAGTATATCGTGTCAGTATGGCTTGAGATATATTGGCTAAACAAAAAGAGCATTAAAGTTTCGTATCAAGGAACATGAATCTTATGTCTGAAAAGGCGAAATTTAACAAGTCTTCAATAGCGTATCATAGTTGGAAATTTAATCATAATTTTGACTTTGGAACTGCAAAAATCATCCGAAAAGCTTCTTCCGTTCGTGAATTGGATTTTCTTCAGGCTTTTCATATTCACAAAGATTTAGCCTGATTAGTGAATGATTTCAAGTCCAATCCAGTCCTTTCTAAAGCTTTTAAAATTCTGTTAACATAATTCTTGGTTATTTGCCGATAGATGGCGTTGGCTCCTCGCGATTGGTACTACCGGAGGGTATAAAAAGCCGTTAAAGAGGACATTCGATTTTGACATTCGATTCTCGTCATGGACGAAGAAAGTGACGGTCGTAAGAGCTCAGAGCTCCTGCACAACAATGGAAACACGAATTCGGCGCCGCCAGCTGGTACTTCTACCGCTGCCTCTCCAACTACGGATCAATACTGATATGGACACGACTGCTCCTCCACCTGCTTCTCCTTCAGCCATGGAACTATCGAAAAGTGCAATCCAAATCTACGCCCTCAAAAATCGTCATACGGACTTGCTATTCGACATCCAGAGACTTCAGCGTTCTGATAATCCCTCCAAGGACCTGATGATTAAACAGATGACCGACGAGGGTGAGCGAATTTTGTTTTCACTTCATACCTTATGTACCAACCTCGGAGTAAACCTCTTTACCCTCCCTGCCACAGAAGACGAATTCTTTAAAGAATGTCAGGCCAAATCTTCACAACCCAATATTTCGGAAACTAACACTCCAAATTCTCCTAAAACCACCCATACTGAAAACCCTAAAACCCCACTAGAAACTCCTAAATCTGATCAAAAGAAACGTACTCGCCCTACTGATGCTGAAGGGTTTGTCATACCACCAAAACACTTAATAGCTAAAAAATCCCAAACCAAACACATCCCTACTGAAAATATTAATAACATAGCTACTCCAAACTCTTTCAATATTATCCAAACAAATACTGACAATGCAGAACATACTACTCAGCAGCCGGCAGACACACAGAAACCAAAAGTACAGGCACCTCCACCAATTTTTATCAAGCCTCGTGCTGATTGGTACTTTCTTCTAAACCAACTCAAACGTCATGCACCGACAGTCCAATCAAAACAGAATATTGACTTCCTCAAACTTAACACCTCAAATGAAGCAGATTACCGGACTGTCGTAAGATTTGTAACTGACAATAACATCGAATTTAAATCACACACTCTTAAATCAGACAGACCACTTAAAATAGTTATTAGGGGATTACCACTCAAACACACCACTCAGTGTTTTGTGCAGACTGCGGTGGAAGTCCTCGGTTTCAAATTCATAAAATCTCACAGCTCAAAAGATGGAAGACCCAAATGCCGATGCCGATGCCCTTATTCTACCTACAGATATTTACAATAGCCTGAAAGCAGATGAAATATACAACATCACGGAGCTACTGGGAACGGAAGTTGCCATGGAGCATTTCAAAGGTCAGAAAGGCCCTTCACAGTGCTGGCGCTGTCAAGGGTTCTTTCACTCATCCGAAGTATGCACGCTACCAAGACGCTGTGTGAAATGTGCTGGTCCACATCAAGCAAAAGACTGCCCGAAACCATTTGAAGCACCTAATAAATGTGCAAACTGCTCCGGAAATCATGCGGCTAACTGGCGTTCCTGCCCAAGATTCCCGGGTTCAAAAAATAGATCAAATCCGAAACCGAGCACCAAACCCAGCCTGACCGCTGAAAAAACCAACGCAGACAAAATTAATCTCAAAACAAAAACATCCAATTCCCAACACTGTCGGCTGCACCCACACCCAGTGCAAATAATATCGCCCTGGAGTTTCTTCTTCCGCAGCACTTACTGGGTATGCAACAAGCTGCACCCCAAATTATTCCAAATTTATCGGTCCCCTTAGGAGCTAATTCGACGCTAAATTGCACCGAAATCCTTTTGGCAATTATTCAAATTTCAAACCAGCCTGGTATTGACCAGAGCAGACTTCTTTTGGCATTCAAAAACGCCTTACCGCAGCTCAGAGTGGCTCCATCTGGTGCTGACGCGGCATACTACATCTTTGAGAGTTATATTACTCTCCAATTGTCTGATATCCCCACAGTAAAATTCAATACTTTGAAAGGATTGAAAAACTTAAAACTATGCACCTGGAATGCAAATGGCATTCTATCCAAATTCCATGAGTTTAGAGACTATGTGAAGAGAAAGATTTTGACATTATTTTTGTCCAAGAGACCAAACTCCAGCCAGGGAGAGCTCCCAAGCTTGCAAATTATGCTTTATATAAAAATGACAGACAAGCTTCAATACTCGTGATGTTTATCATGGTGGCACTTGTGTCTATATTAAAAATTCAATACCACACAAAAGATTGACACTCCGAGTATGAGTAAACTCGAGGCAACAATCATTGAAATTTTCATTCAAAATTCGTCCCCCTTGTAATGATCTCTGCCTATCTTCCACCAGGTGGAAATTTACCTGTGGTTGATTTTAACAAATTGCTCACCTTATCCAACAATCTAATCATAGCTGGTGATTTAAATTGTCACCATCAGCATTGGCGTTGTCATAGATCAAACCCTGCTGGTCGTGGCCTTCTAAAATGGGCTCAGTGCGACCAAATTAAAATTATTGCGCCGGATTCCCCCCTAGAGATATGGTTTCACGGGGTGCCCCTTCATTCATTGATTTGGCACTCTTTCGAAACATCCCTTTTGGATATCACGTGACTGTTGAAAAACTGTTTATCTTCAGATCACACCCCGTGATAGACCTTAACTGTACTATTTTAATCAAAATTCTCCGGCACTCGTCTCTACAAACTGGGACAATTTTCGTTTCAAACTCAAAAAGTAAAAATTTGCCCTCCCTTGAATTAAATCCAGCCATGATATAGACTCGGCAGTCGATCACTTAACGACCATTTTAACAGATACTTATAAGGAAGTATCAAAACCCACCCTCAGACCCAATTTTCGTAAATTACCTCAAGAAATTAAACTCAAAATTAAAGAAAAGAATAAAGTACGGGAGACTTTGGCAAAGAATAGAAATCCTGGCTTAAAAATTCAACTCCGTGCTCTCCAAAATGAGATCAAGGCATCATGTGACCATTCTTCCAATCACAATACACGAATTACATTCAGTCCCTAACGACCAATGATAACAGTCTTGGCGCGCATCAGCCCGCCTACGCAAACACAAATCTAACATTCCGTCCTTAGCTACGGACGCAGCGGTGGCTCACACAGACGCTGAGAAATCCGAATTAATTGCGGATTCTCTTCAAACTCAATTTACACCACATAATGAAGGAATTTTTGCGAACAGCGCAAGTTCTTTCCCACAAGATGTTGAACGTTTCCTCTCCTCGCCTTTCGCGAGAGAAACACTATACATCCATGAGCGAGGTAAGTGAATACATACCAAGCTCAAACCCAAAAAAGCCCCTGGTATGGACTCTATTTCTAATCGTATGATTAAAAATTTACCCACCACTTATCTATTTTTCTTAGTAATGCTTATAAATTTTATGATACAGCATTGCTATTTTCCTCAAAGCTGGAAACAAGCACTTATTGTGCCTATTCCAAAACCAGGCCAAAGCCTTTCTAACCCTCAAAATTATAGACCTATCAGCCTCCTATCCTCGTTATCTAAGATATACGAGTTTGGGTTACTTAAACGCCTGAATGATTTTCTCCGAAATCACAACGTTCTGAATTGATGAACAATTTGGATTTCGAGCAAAACACTGCACCACGCACCAGCTGCTGAGGACAGTGGAGTTCATTCACGAAGGGTTTCGTAACAAAATGCTTACTGGCGCTTTATTTTCTTGACATAGCCAAAGCATTTGATAGGACTTGGCATATAGGAATTATTATCAAGCTCATACGACTTGACGTTTCGGCCCATTTAATTCATATAATTAATTCGTACCTCACTAATAGATCTTTTTCTGTACGAGTTAATTCTTTCATTTCGACACCCCGTCCTATACTAAGCGGCGTCCCCCAAGGGTCACTTTTAGGCCCAATTTTGTTCAACATTTTCATAAATGACATACCAAAATCACCTAGTATCACTCTTGCACTTTATGCAGATGATACGGCCATCCTAGCTCAACACAAAACGCCTTGAAAACTTGGTCCAAATCATTCAGAGTTATCTCTAGCCTTGAGCACTGGCTCATCACTTGGAAAATCAAAATTAATGTTGCTAAATGTGCTGCTATGATATTCAAACGTAGCCCCCTCCCGTACCCTTCCATTAATTTAAATTCTTTGATGACTATGTTCCCTGGTCAAACTCTTACAAGTACCTAGGAGTTGTACTTGATTCAAAATTAACCTGGCGCCTTCACATTGAAAATGTTCTCAACAAAGCGA